TTTTTTTTTTTCCAAATTATTAAACTTGAGGGACACAGGACATGCAAATGCCTCTTTGACAATACCACTGAGTTGGTCATAAGATACGTACCATACGATATTTGTTGCCGTTTATAGACTGCCGGATCAAAATATGCAGGATTTGGATCAGCAGAACCCCAAAGCAGCTTTTAGCTCCTCATCAGCGCAGTTATATCCCAGGAAGTAAGCTCGTGCTGCCACGCAAAGATGACAATGAGATGTATATATAATCAAAAACCTAAAGAAAAGCATGGAACATATCAAAGGCGCAAGATTTAGGTATATATTTTAATACCAAAACGGCCAGATCCCATGAAAGGTTCTGCTTCATCTGTGCCACCACCTTGCTGCTGCTGCTGCTTCTCAGATTTTGATGAGCACAAAGTTAAGAACTATGAATTTATGAAAACCAGAAACTGAAATGGACAAGCTGGTAATGGCAGTTCCTGTAGAATGATGGCAAGTCAACGGCACACCATATTTGTCCAAAAATTATCAAAACAATCAAGAAATTTGGTTTACTCACGGGATCCAATTCCATTTGAGATGGTGACGGCAACCTATCGAAACAATGGCCTGAAATTGTGCAGACCAAAAGTTTATTGGTTGGGTTCAAAATGACTTCTCTGCAAGTATCATCACACACTGGAAAACACCAAAGGACCATAAACAGAAGTCCCGCGATGTATTTAAGCACAAAGAAATGCAACTGTTTGGTAGTGTTTCCTACCATGAACATGCCCTGTCTTCTCACAAACAAATACGTTTCCAATTTGGTGGTAAGAACAAGTTTTTCCGGAACACACATGATCAGTGAACACCTTATCAGCTAGGCGATGTCTGCTCTTCCACATAGATACGTGATCAGCAACTGCCTTGTCCAGAAATATTCGGTCATCTTTCACCTTCACATTATTAAATAAATAAAGTGAAAGGACACATATTGCTATTCTATAGTCATGTATTATTATTACAAATGTAACCATCTTACGACCCTCGTGAAATTATTTCCTGAAAATTTCAAATTGAGTTTAGAAGGAGCTGATTTCCCCTTCATTTGTTACTTTTTTTCTTCTTTTGCCTTTTATGATAATTTATCAACCAGTAACATATATGATAATTTAAGTGTGTGTTCCGAAACAAGGATAGATTCAGCCCTAACTCAAACCCACACAATTTAATTATGGTTATAAACAACATTCCTGGTATAGCATGAAGAATGCTTTCAAGGATGAATTCAATTAAAGTTGATCTAGAAAACGCTCATTATTTTGAACTGGACATTTCTTTGACACAATGATCTCATTCCTTCCCATCAAAATCAAAGAAGAGAAGTAGAAGACCCTAACATCCTTTCATTCCTGCATTCAAAACAGCTTTGCACACAAACGTCCTTTTCAATTTTGAAGGCTCAAGCAATAGTAAAAACCATGTTACCTGTGAAGGAAGAGGTGCCTGCATGGCTCCATTTTGCTTCTTGCATTTGAATGTAGCACTCTTTGAACTGAGGTGGCCAATTCCTAACAAGTTCAATTAAGTCCTCTTCGTCTCACCGCAAGATAAAAGCAAATTTCTAAATGTTACAGCATTGAACAGGATTTGGAAAATTACATGTCTGAAGGAACAGACCAACTGAAAAGCCCACATAATAACAGGAATAAGTTAAAAACCCCAACCTCCATTACTAGAGATATGTTACCATGATAAGTAATTATTTAAATTTTAAAGCAGTATATTTGAAAGAGGACTGGGGGTAAGGACCCATTTGCCTAAAGCATTTCACCAGAAGGCCGATTATTAACACATGTTAGAGGAACTTTAACTGATGTACAACATCAAAAGTAATCAATAAACTGTATTCGTCCCACTGACAAAAGTAAGCTTGAAAATACAAACTAAATAGTTGTAAATTCTGAAATATCATTTTTTTCATCCAAAAATGGACACAGTAAGATTGAGTATGAGAAAGATCCAAGCTTCCGAAGGAGTATAATTTGGCGAAAAAAGGCTAAAACTTGGAGTACCTGAATATAATGCTTCTTCCAAGCAGATTCCCTTTACTTTGTGGGTGGCAATAAACCCCATCTCATGTAGTAGCTGGCCACACTAAAAAACTAAGCACGTCACACAAAATTATCAAAAACAAAGCAATAAGCTAGAACCTAAGAGACTGGATGGTAATAAACAGGAGTTCAAAATGAAGCAAGTCAAAACAGAGAACAGAAAAAAGATAAAAACTTTCCAAATAGTTCCTTCCTTTCTTCTTATTAACCAATATTTGCCTATCTATCAGTCGCTTTTGTTTCATTTTTGTTTCATTTTAACTCCTTTTTCCCATGTAAGACACCACCATAAATATAGTATTTTTATTACATAATTTGTCATTGATAAAACACCAATTAGCAGAATTTAATTAAAAAAACAAAAGCAAAAGAACGTGACTTCATATCAGAAACAAAAACAAGAAAATACAAACTCACAGGTGACCCCATAAGGATTCATCAGATGCAGCATAATTCAGGAATCTACACACCAGGGAACATGACACAAGGTCCTGTCATTTCATTTTTTGTTACAAAAAAAAAAAGAAAGGAAAAAACTTTGACCAACAAATAAAATCGAACTGCAAGCATAAGAACTTAAAAAAAAAAAAAATGAACAGAAACAGAAACGATGAACAAATTGAGATTACCTCAGATGAGAGGAATTTAAGGATATGAGTGAAAAGCTCAGGAGGAATCTTGCTGAGAATCCCAGTTTCAATACTTCGAGGAACACTCTTTTTCTTGTTGCTATTGTTGTTTGGTTGAACTGAATCCGGATTCATATTCAGTTTACCTGAATTCGATTGAGACTCTACTTTATCATTTTCCTCAGTACGGAATCTCTTCGTTTTTGGTTCATCCTCCTCTTCCTAAAAACCAAAAAACAATTCAATCAATTTGATGAAGAAAATTACGACTTTTATGTACAGAAATGCGAAAGAAATGAAATTACTTGATAGGCGTAGAGGACCTCGGACTCTAGGAAATGTGCCAAAATCTCGTCTTCGTCGTCTGATACAGTCATTGTTCAGATCAGACGGCGAAACTAAGGTCAGATCCGACCGATTAGTCACCGGCGGAGTCTCGTCGGTGCAAACGCTTGGTTCTAGGATAAGCCACAGAAACGCCGGAGCTGTTGCCTGTCCGGGTCTGGCAGGAGAGGTGGTCGGGCGGGTGGATTTCCGGGTCGGGTCTTCTTGTTATTACCCACAAGTCTCCTCCCGTTTCCTTGGTTCAGGTCTACACGTATCACCATCACCCTTTTCGGATTCTCACGTTCGCCTCAATATTATTTGTTTTTGTAACGCGTCTGGTGGATAAACATTTTTCTTGTTGATACAGAAAAGTGTCATGAGGAAGACCTAATTCCTGATTATGTGAACTACCAAATGATCTGTATATTGCTGCAAAGCCTGGTATGGAGCATGGAATCCTAAAACTTTGGTCTATATCACATCATCACCAATGGGGTAAGAATCATCAAATTCCAGAGTTCCAAAGTCACCCATCAAAGTTCAGATAAGTTATCCATACAAGATAAAATATAAAGTTGGAAATGTATGGTAGCACTTTTGACATTCAGGGGCAACACAGCACCCACCAGTCACACAAGTCACAACATTTCTAAACCTTATCTAAACCCTAATATTAAGCAATGGAAAAATATGAACATAGTGGAGAATGCAACCCATGATAAGCACTTTGCATAAAATTTGCCCCAAAATGCAAGGTTCAAAAGTATGCACCCAATAACTTTGATTACCAAAGCTGTTTACACAAATAGTAGAATCCAGATGACAATCCGGTGAGTCCTAGCAGCCAGATTTTAGGAAGTGCTGGGACAGCCAAAAAAAGCACCAGTTCACTATTTCTAGGGTCTTAGAGATCCAAGGACAAGCATCAGGCAGATTTCACGAAATGCTGGGACAGCAGTTTGTTCATCTCTAGAAACCCAACTTTGTCTTTTCCCTCAAATATAGTCTTCAACTTCTCATCACAACAGATCTCCCTTTTGTTTGCAGGATTCTAAAAGAGAGCATTGCATTGTCATTGACAACAAAGATACTTCATTTACAAAGCAGAAAACAAGACACAGAGATGAAGTAAAAGAACAAAAAGAAAGACAATAATAGCATTTAGGATTTCTGAGACATCATTATCCGCTTCCTAGCAACACAATAATGCAAATGCAAGGGAACAGTGAACAAGATCATATTTAACCCAGCCACAGTAGCATCGAAGACTTCTCTCAATTGACCAACTAACACCCTTGATTCTGACATTTATGAGATTATAGAACCTAGTATACAAGTGCTGGAACTGCATACATTACCATATAAAATTAGCATTTACACATACAATAGTTAATAAAAAAAAAGGGGTCAAACTTACACTAGACTTTAGCTACAATAAGCCAAAAAAAGGCTTAATAAAACATAGCTAGCTGTCCAAATGAGCATAAGTAATACTTCATAACACATTCTGATTGTTATAAAGAAACAATATGATCCTCCCATCTTCCAAAATTTACACTTAAAAAAAAAAAAAGAGGATAGGGAGAGTTTCTTGAGAATTCACTATGAAGAATGAACCTTAAAGAATTTTAAAAAAAGCACGGGTCATTCTGCCAAATTTCTCAAACAAGCAAAAGTATTAACTATTAAAAGCTCGATTTGCAGGCATTTACAACCCTACGACTCCCATTTTCACATTATTATAAAGAAAGAAGCGTTATTGTTTCACAGACAATGAAAACATGAGCACCCAAAAGGAAAAGAGTCATGAAAAGGGTTAAAAACCTGGAGGTTATGGAGCTTGATGTATTCCCAGATTTTCTTGACTGCGTCGGCACGAGATGCTTCAGAAGCCCCAAGGAAACTGCCGAGCTGTGGAGAAACCGGGATCGGCTTCATAATGCCATTTTTTGCCCTTGTTTTCGTAGCTCCTGCTATCGAAGTCTTTGCTGCCGCCATCAGTGCTCTGCATCCTTGAAAAACCCCTGAGGTCGCCATCCCTGCTCTTCCGCTGCAAAAACCCTAAACCCCAAGACTGGAACAGCGAGGGAAATGCAAAGAAGAAAAGAGAATGACGGCGTGAATTCTCCTTTGGGCAATTTTTTAAAATCTCGGTAAGTTGGGTTCAAATATGGGCCTATGTTGCTGGGCCCAAAACGACAAATCCTTTAACGCTTCTTTTTTTTTAGTGAAGTTCTTTCTACCAAGGTTGTCAAAATCGATATTTTACTTAAAATCGTTTTGGTTAGGTGAAATCGGAATCGTAAAATCGAATCGGTAAAATTGAGATTTTATAAAATTTAATATATAATATATGATAAATTATATAAAATTAAAATTAAATAACAATAAATCAAATTTAGAGTTAAAAACTTGAAATTAATTAATTAAAATTTAAATATCCAACAATACAAATAAATTAAACAAAGAATATGACTTAAATTTAGAATTTTAGATGGTTAAATCAAATTTGTCTCGAATTCTCGATTAAAATGTTGATTTGTGGTTGGGTTGTGTGGGTTGTGGGCTTTTTAAAATGAAAAATAAGGTTAATTTATGGGTTATCTAGTCAAAACTCACTAACCCAATATGAGAAGTCCAAAATGAAATAGGCAAAAAGTCCAGCTGCTAAACAGAAAGTAAAATCGAGATTTTACCTGATTTCACGATAAAATCTAGATTTTACTGTGAAATTCTCAGATTTTATAAATTTCAAATTTTAATATAGATTTTACATGAAATGTCTTGCTGAAATCGTAAAATCATAAAATTTTAAGATTTAAATCTAGATTTTGACAACAATGCTTTCAACCCATGAACTTACACCTTAATTGCTGAGCATATTTCTCAATCTCAAAAGGATGGCTTGATTTTCTGTTTAGTTTTTTTTTTTTTTAAAAAAAATGAAAAATGGAGGATGATTTGATTGTTTGAATCCCCACTCCCTTGTTAAAAAGAATTTCTTTACATTAAATAAGAATCTTTGGATCTTGGTTGTCTATCACAAGAAAAAAGAAAAGAAAAGAAAAGAAAATAAAATAACAATTCTTTTTCTTGATTAAGATAACAACTTCACATTCATATGCAGATGTGATAACCCATCGATCAGATCAAACAATTTTGGTTCCAAAAAGCTAAAATGAGAGTTTGGTGAAGTTAAAGATCACTTTTGGGGTGACGAAATACAGCAGCTTGAGTTAAGAGTGCTAAGAAATTTGCCTTTGCCTTTCCTATCTTTTATCTTATTTAAGAAAAAATAACCAGTACATATGTGAAAATTATTATTTTTTATTTATAAATCGAATAAGGAATTCATCAAGAATGCTCCAGTGATCCCGCGACCATCATTCCTTTGTTAAGAGTTTCTCATATTAAAATATAGAAATTATCATTTCTTTGTTAAGGGTTTCTCATGTTAAAATATAAAAATATAAAGTTCAAATTCCACGCTAATGTTAAAAAAAAAATATATTCATCATAACAGAACACTTAAAGAAAAGAGAGAAAATAAAAATCTCAAAGATTTTGCATGGCCCTCCACTCACTCAATTCAGGTGAATCCTCCTCAACTTTTCATTATATATATATTGAGTAATAATAGGAGAACAAAAATTTAGGATAAATGATGTAATATATGTTATGTTATTAAATTAGATAATACATATAATATTATAAATTTTTTAAGAAATAAAATAATTAATTATTAAATAATATAAAATATATTTTTTAATATTTTAAATTACATAATTTATATCATATTATTGATTTTAGATTTTATTCCAAATTTTTTGTTAAATTTATCATATTTTTTTTTCACTTCCTGTGGTGTTAAAAATGCAAGGAATTTAATAGAAAAAAGAAAAAGGAATATCAGAAATCATTTTCTTCTTTCCCTTGCTGATTTTTAGAACCAACACTAAAAAATAAAAAAAATTGAGCTGGTCGGCGCAGGACTAAGTGGAGATTCTCATGTTTATCACACTTGCTTTTTCTACTTTAACTGTCCTTCCCTCTTTAACTTTGCTTTCGATCCCATCAACATAATATAATGTTAAAATGTTAAAAAAGAAAGCTTTGATCTTCCTTTCTTTTTCTAACACCATTGAATGTCTCCTACGGTCATCACTTTTCACTAAGATCCAGAAGTCAAATTCTTCATAATAAGAACTTTAAAGTGTGATATACTAGTGGAAATTATTTCAAAAATGAGACTGCTATTTCTTGGTTATGTGTCTCCATCAAATGTATTAGAAACTTCTCCCCAAAAACAAATGACTTTATATTTATTAATATATGTAGTGCTAAGTTAGCATTGTCCAACAATGACTGGATCAAAATTTCTTAACAATGATTCCTCTGTTAATTAAGAAGGATAAAAACTCTTCGATTCTACCCTTTCTTGTTTTCTGGGTGGTGCCTGATGCCTCTTGATTTACTTCAATTGGACGCGGTGCAGTGCCATATAGGCCACGAGCCGGTACCCCACCAACATTATTGCCATGATCAACACATCAACCCACAAATGATTCAGACCCATTGATTTAATTGCTGGCAAATCCCCAACCCTGCATAGTCCCCTCTCTGGGCACTCATAGTAGTCGTCTTCATCGTATTGAACACCCAATAGAAGCTTGTAGCAGTAGTAGCTGTAACTCAAGTACTTCAGCCAGACAATAAATGGTGGAATTTGTTGCACGTAGTATCCTCCGGCTATGAGAAAGACTAACGTGGTGACGGAAGCTAATGTTGTGGCTTGTTTTATGTCCATGAGGATGGCTCCGAAAGCTAATCCAAGACTCTGGGAAACTAGTACACTGTAGAGGACGATGATGAGGGAGAGGATGAAGGTGACAGGATCGGGTTTAAGCCCGCCCATCCAGTATATAATGAAGACAAAAGCAGTTGGAAGTGCGAGTTCCAGGGGAAGATCTCCAATTGTTCTAGCTAAGAAATAGGAAGAAAGGCGGTACATCCCCGAGGATCTTTCCTTGATCAGCATTGTTCTTTCTTGAGGAAATGTGAAAACAGCATTGTAGAGTGGGTAGAATCCCCAGAACACGGAGAAGAAGAAGATCAATGCAATCTGTAGTTGAGAAATAAGACTGTTCAGCATAAATCGGAATGGATGAGTAATGAATTCCAAGATTATATGAGGGGTTCTTACGCGGTCTGCAACGTGAGAAGTCGGAGTGTGCCACCAGAGGAGGCCGCCGAGGAAAGCAACGCTGATAACTTGGAAAATTCTTAGCTTGTTAAAGGCTTCAAATCGCCTTTCCCGAACACCCCTCTGGAGCAGCACCTTGAATTGGTGCCACCAACTTGTGCACCACTGTTCCGTCTTGTAATTTTCTGTATTTATTCCGAACGAACAATTTCAGTTGAAATTGAAAATCAGAACCGGACAATTGAGATGGGAGAATGATAATTACTTGAATTTGCGTCTTTTGTATAATTGTAGTTATTGACATCTGAATTGCAGAGTTCAGCTTTCAGTCTTGTGGAAATGTTCTTCTCATAAGCAGAAAGCAGAGTTTCCCTCACTGATTTCTGTTCTTGCTCTGTTTCCTCACCCTGCTCTGAGTTTTTGCAATCAGGACTAATTCCTACAGCATTTGTTTCTCAAAATTAGTTTAGTATCTTGGAAAATTGGCAATGCAGAGAATTAAGATTTGGAATTTTGAATTACCATTGGCGAGATCGAGTAAGAGATCGGCGGGGTTGATGGTGAGGGATGTTGAGAAACCAATGGAGGAAAAGTATTCGAGAGCGGAAGATGCAGGGCCATAGTAGATGGGGCAGCCTTCGGAGAGCAGCAATACCTTATCAAACATGTGATAGATTCGGCTTGATGGCTGGTGAATGGTGGTGACTACAGTCCGGCCACCGGCTGCCAGGCGTTTGATGGTTGTGAGGATCCGTTGAGCGGTGGTTGAATCGAGACCAGAGGTGGGTTCGTCCAGTAATAGTAAGCTGGGGTTGATCAACATTTCCTGACCTATGCTCACTCGCTTCTTCTCCCCACCGGATATTCCCCTGAACAGCGGCCCTCCAATCATACTATTCCGGCACCGGCTCAGCCCCAGCTCGGCGATGACTCTTTCCACGTGCTGCGCTTTCATGTCTCGGGTCAGGCTGTTGGGCAGCCGTAACAGGGCCGTGAACATAAGCGTCTCGGTTACGGTCAAGTGCGGGTACAGGACATCATTCTGAGCAACAAATCCTGTTCTTCGCTTTATGGCGCCAGAAAACGGCTGCCTATTGTACGTTATTTTCCCGGACAACTTGCCACCGAGACGGCCACCGAGGGCGGTGAGGAGGGTGGTTTTACCACTCCCAGACGGGCCAAGCATTGCCAGAATTTCCCCCGGATAAACCATACCTGATAGCCCATTCAATATGGTCTTTCCTCGGGTTTTCCACGTCCCAAAACAAAATCCTTCCTGTTGCTCCAATTTAATTTTGTACACAACCTCCTCAAACTGTAATTATCACAGAAAAAAACGTTAATCAATTAAATAAAATAAGCTAATTAGCATGAAAAATTAAATATTTTCAAAGCTTGTTCGAGGAAAAACAAAAACCTTCAAAGTTACAGGAAACGGAGCAAGTTTCATGGGAGGTTGAGAACTGGGTTGCATTGGGAAAGCAAGGACAGTTCCGTTATGAGACTCCGTCGGCTCCGGCAGGCCTTCCACGGTATTGCCACTGCTGTCTTCGGGTTTTGGTGCTACATAATTTAGTGGCATGGCTAAAAGAAGTGACTTTAGTGATGGTGGGGGGTAAAGCGAAGGGAGAAGTTAAGGAAATTGTCTTTTTAAACTGGGTTCCTCATGGTGAACTGGAGTGGACCTAAAGGCCAAATATATAGCGGAGATCGGAGAGAGAATGAATTACAGCGGTGTCCCACATCTTCTTTTCCCTTAAATTATTCTAAAACAAACTCCAAACCATCAATTTCACTAATAAGCTCTTCCCAGATCAGTTCCCTCTTATCTGCATCTTGATCCCCCCATCTTTCCATTTATTATTAATTGATTTTAAGTTATATATAAGTGTGCATGCCCATCTGTTCAATTTTTACATGATTTGTTAACCAACATAATAAAATTTATGTTGAACTTGAAAATAAAGGACATGTTAACTCCATATGATATGTTTTGAAATTCATACTGACCTTAAATTTAATGAAGCATATTAAACGAAAAAATCTCATATTGATCCAAATATAAAAAGAATTATTCACTTATTATTCATTAATTTTAAATTAAATGCAATTTTGATATTAAAATCCATATGTCCAATTTTTTTTTTTTAAAGGAACATCAATATATGTGCACCCATGATAATTATCTTAGAACACCTTACAACAATTTATGTACTTTCATTGATCTAGTTGTTGGAAAAGAGTGATACAAATATAAAAAAGCTTGCTATTTGGGGTCAATACGCAACTTATTTTTGCATCTTTATTGATTTCAGTTTGTTTCCATTGTGCTTCCCACATGCTCAAAAGAACTCAAATGTCAGCATTTTCTAAAAATGTTCAGTTTTTGAGGAATCTAAAAATGTTCAGTTTAATTGTTAGTAATAAGTGATAGTTGTCGGTCTCACAAACCGCACTTTTTCAACACTAACCACAGGGCAAATTAATGAGTAGTTTATGAAAAGTTTATGAAAAATCATTACTTCATTACATTTAAAAATAATCAACAAATGGTCCAATATGGATGTGAAAATAGATAGTTTATTATAGTTTTAAGATATATATATATATAATTAATATGATGGGTTATTTTCACAAACTTTCCAGCATTTTTCTTTTTCGGACAGTGACATGATCGATGCCCCTGAGATTCCATGCATTCTAGACCAAACGTTAAGTAGCTGTTTATCAAAGCATCAAACTTGTTATAATAAATGAAATTACAAAAACAAACAAAATACTAAAGACCAACAGCATCTAAAATAGCTTTCCGCCCTTCCTCTTTTTCCTCTTTCAGTAAAACTCAATTTTTCATAACTTCTGCTGTTCAATGTATGCAATTGTAGCGTTATATTCACGGCGCATGGGATATCCATTCGTTGGGGAAAGAATTTGTGCTCTATTAGGAGAGCCACAACCGAAAGCTAAGGTTAATTGGACAGGAATTTTTAATTGTATTTTAAGATTATAAGTTAAAGGTATATTTGTTTATTATATATTTTTATTAGTAATTTGTATAAGAAAATAAAAATTTTATTTTATTTTGTTAATTATCGAATTAAATTATTTCACATAATATTAATATTAAAAATAAAATTTACTTTTATAAAGTTTTTTTATAAATTAATAGTAAAAAAATAAATATTTTTTTTATGTTGGTTGTATAACGGGAGGAAATTCATTCTCATATTTTATTTCACCATATCCGCATGTCATACGATTTAAATTCAAAATTTTTATTTTTAACAAAAAAAAATTATTATTAAATTATTTAAATTGTTGATAAAAAATAAATGTTAAAAAAGTGTAAATTAAAAAAATCTAATTACATGTATGTTTAAAGATTAAAAAGTGAAAGCAAATTCTTTTATTCCATCAACGATAACTGCTCCTACCAAATTCGGTTTTTCTATATTCGCATCACCGAAATTCGATATGACTTAATATTAATATTAAGTGCAATGTTCGGTATACAATTCCTTTATGCTTAGACTCTTTCGGGTCAGGGTACTTTACAAAAAATGCACTCTCTCGCTGACGGGGGTGCTGACGGGATTCAAGGCTTTTTAACATGCATTTAGAAGTTGTATTAAGTTTAAAATTATTTTAATATTTTTTAATAAAAATTTATTTTCAAAATATAATTTTAAAATAATTTTTAATTAATTTTTTAAAAATTTAGTTGATAAATATATATTATTTTAAAGTGATAAATTAAATAATAAAAAATAACCATTTCATTTTTAAAAATTTCTCCACTTCATCTTTTAATCTAAAAACTTTTAATTTAGAGAGAAAAGTAATTCCTACTACTTGCTATTTTTAATTTTGAAACCTTAGCAAGATTGACACAAACTCTTTAAAATATTGGTTGATGCTCGACCGACATTCTAAGCCGAATTATTTTGTGCAATAGATAATGTGTGTGATGCTAAACCAAAGTCATCTAATATTTCATTAATTCTCTCTTGCTTCTTCCCTTTTCATCTCACTAGAATTATTAAAATTTAAAAGAAACTAAGAGAAAGAAGGAGAAAAATATAATGATTAAAAAGACGGCCATCAATCGGATTCCCAATTACCGTCCCATAAAAATATACTTATTTTACTTTGTTATGGAGGGTAGGGGTCCACTCTTTTCCCATGTTAATTTGGAAGACCTAATTCTTGGCTACTTCACTCTTGGATGCGCATCATCTTTGAACTCACCCCTTTCTGTGCCCCCAACTTGCATATATTTATGTATGCCTAAGCTAGCCTAGTAAACTTCTATATAGGTTACGTGGATACATCACACGTTGTATATATGAATAAAATAACAAACAGAATTGTATTACAAACTTAATAGGATAAAACTTCGACCATAAATTCCATACATGCCGAATTTAAAGTTACAACTTTAATTAGATTCATTGTAAGACCGTAACTCGGCCCCTACCCACAATACCATTGGTTCCTTTTTTCTTTCAGCCCTTATCTTCCATATGCTAGTGCCTTTGCTTTTCAACTTATATATTCCTCACTTTTCCTAGATCTTAATTTCAATCCTACTATCGACATAACTCATCTTGCACATGGATTCTTTCTCCTTTTTTTTTTTTTTTTAGCATTCCTTACCTTGAGATTGATTCGTAAGGCTAATGTTTTTTAGTCACCATCGAAGTAAAGGCGTGCGCGCAATTTTCATGTCACATCTTTTCTCATTCTCGATACCCCTTGATGATTAGTGCACGTTTATTAATTACTAACAAAGATAAGAAAATTCTTCCACATAGCTTCAAATTTGGGTTAGTTAGTTTATGCCTTAAGTAATCGCTTATATATTATCACAAAAAATGAAGGCATATATCCTTATTGATATATTGACCAAATTATATACCTTATAGCTCGGTATATGCAGTCAATTTGGCAACTAGATTTATTTTTTTATTATTTGGTGGATTAGTGGGGGCAACTCTTGCTATTTGAGTTGAGGGAGGCGTGACAAAAATCACCCTTCTCTTCTCTTCATATCTAAACTTTTTGTTTGATTGATAAGAAGTTGGTATAATTACTTATGATTTTTTTTTATTTAAATCATATGACAATTATAAAATTAAAAGAATCAAACAAGTAACTATTAATTAATTACCATCATGATTTATAGGTACTATATCTAATATACGACCCTTGTTAAAAATATATATTTTTTATTAAGTTATATAAAAAATATAAAAATTAATTTTATTTCTAATACTAATAATATAAACACAATTTTAATTAAATAATTAATAAAATTAAAATTAATTTTTATTTTTTTTATAATCGATATCCTAAGAATATAAGATAAATAAAACACTATTTTTTAAAATATTATAAATCTATGGGGTTTTTTTTTTTTTAACAAGGATTATGGTTAGGAAGTTAGTGAGTTAATTGTTAGCAATTGGTCTTCAGACGGGGTGAACATTCCATCCCCTCAAATGAGACGCGCGGCCATCAAATCACTTTTTGGTGGAGTTCACAATAGTAGTAGAAGTCGAAACTCTGACCATCTCACTCAAACACTTAAGATTTGGGGTGGATATATTAGGTCTGAAGGTCTAGTTCATAAATCTATGGGTTTGATAATTAAGTTATGGAAGTTTTATTTTACCCAAGTGGAGTGGTAGTTAATTCCAATTTTGGTTGTCGTTTAGCGAGTTAGTGAACGGGAGTTGGGAAGTCGACACGTGGCACGCACTCCGGGACCCTGTTTCTGACTTGGAGGGGGGAAGGGGGGAGTTCCTGCGTCGTTTTGTCAGAATGCAAGATTTGGTCTTACGGAATGCGGATCTAACCAAATCATTTGGTGGAGACCGGATGGGCCCCACACCCACTTATTTACTACTGTCTTCTCCATTTTTGTTAAAAAAATAAAAAAAAAAAAACTTTCATTGTGCAATCAATGGAAATGGGACTTGGATTTCCTCCTCTCTTTTTATTTTTTTTTTAATTTTTTCTTGTCCCATGGAGTTGGTGGTTTTTTTTTTCAGTCTTCCAGAACTTCACATCCCCTTTTTTTTTTTTTGTAATTTTTGGTTTTACTTTAACCAACTTAATTGATTCAGGTCTTTAAATCTAATACTTCATTTTTAAATCTTAGTATTGGGTTTTAATTGATCAAAAATCCGATTTTCATTAATGATTTGAAAAAAAATAATTCTCCATTTCTCAAAATTTCCCTATATTCCAAAGAAAAAAAAACCTTAATTAACTGTTGACCTCTCCACTCTTAATCACTGGTTAAGTAAAGGACCAGTTCTTATTTGTTTTCTAGTTTAATTACACCCAAGTATAAAAATCAAATACTTTTTGAATGATTGTATAAAATGGTGATTTATAAGCACTAGTAAAATTAATTAAATAAAAATTTAGATAAAATTTAGATGTTTATCGCATTATCCAAAACGTTTTAATCAAACAGTTTTAAATGTACTAGTCCCGTCAATTTAAGCACCATAAAGATGAAAAAAACACAGCATATACATACTTAGGTGGAAATCACTTTGTTAGATGGAATTAATGACTTGGCATTTGGTGGTGGCTAGTAACTGATCGCATCATCACTTGTTTATATTATCATCTAGTAACTGCACAAAAAAGTTTTTGGGATTATTAAAATTATGATAATGACCCAAGAGCATGTTCTTGTAAATTAACATATAAAAATTACTATTAATGATTAATCAGAATAAATATACACGTACTAATACTAGAAATATTAGTACGTAAAATGCAAAGAAATCAAAATAGTAATTTTAATTTTAGTGTCAGGGTTTGAGGTTCAAAATTCTTATAATATAATTAAGTTGCAGTTTCTTAGAAACTATCATCGTTAATGATTTTGTGAGTCAGCCTGCCTAGATATGTATGCTCTCTAAACTAATTAATTCTACCTTTGCTGCTGCAAACAAATATGTACTACATGCGATATTGCGGGGACAACACAAGAGAGCAAAACAGAAAGAAAAAGATGGTGTCCAAAGGGAATGTGATGGACGTGCAAAAAATTGCAATGATCCCCGTGTTCTATATTTCCAGTCATTCACCTATAGCTAGCTAGTAGAAATTAAAGCAAACATATAGACAAATTGAATAGCAGGATTCTGGGGTCGTGCGCTGTTAGTGGATCTCAATATATATAGAAGCAGTAGAGTCCCCCTTTTAGGGGTTAGTGCCATGTGATAGATACCGAACCATATCAAAAAAAAAAAAAAAATCTGCATATAACGAAGTGGAGAGATGATGTGGAGAAGAGCAGATGACACTCCCATTCCCCCTGCAATGAACTGAAAATGAAATTTCTAAGATTTTGTAAGGGACAAAGCAGAACCCACAGTCACACACAGATGTCCACTTGTTATTTTATAATCTTTTTTTCTCCCCTCTCTTCTTCACATTGATCATTATAGTAGTAATTGCTAAAAAAGTGTCCACAGAATTAATGCTCATTGTTTTGATGTTGATCGCAGAAAGTGTGTATCTGTGCGCAAAAAGGGACTAATAATGGCAAATTTTTATAAAATGCAGCTCTTAAGTTGTTGAAACTCTAGTACTGCAACTAATTAGTGGGAGATCGAAGTATGATAATTGGAATGATTGTGATTCTTGAAAGGTGAGACAAAAAAAATATCTCTTTGTAACTTGGGAAAAGAAAGGAATGTTGGAGCACGCGCACATCGCAAAAATGCAAATACTATAGTACTCATTCCAACGTAAGCATCTGCGTTTTGGCGCATGAAGTTCTCCACTTTTTTATATGATCGAAGATCTTCTCATCATGCCTACCCATTTCCTAGCACCTATTTTATAGCTAACTGTTTTCTAGTTGCGACCAAATTGGATTTTCATTTGTCGCAATGGTGTTTGAGGCATCAAGATTGTTATAATTTGGTGTTGGAAAATTTGTTCTCAGCGCAAAATAAAGCTGAAAAAGGCCATTTTGACATCGCAATTAGGGTGTTTTTTAGTGTAAAAACTGTGAAACAAGTTGCAAAATTTTAAAAAAATTTATATATTTTTTTTCCATATATGTTAAAAGAGTTGCTTAAGATACTTTGATTTGTTAGCGTGGTTAGTGTTATGTTGAGTCATCTGATTAGGAAAAATTTAGTTGATGGGGGGCCGAACGCGTCATGTGCTCTATGAATCAATGTTCTCCAATCATTCTAAATTTATATATGTCTTCAAGAACAGATGAGGCAATACCGCAATAGACTAGCAAGTTAAAATTATTTATTCTTTTCATCCCATGGCAATCTTAAATATTTTTTCTTTTATGTACTTTATTTTATCTCATCTCAAACCCTAAAGATCTTTAAAGATATCCTCAAAGATCCTTGTTCGTGCTTTAGATCTTAATCTATCAGCTTAGGGCTTGTGGTACATCATGATCTACTTGTGGCGCGCCATCAACTAAAGAAACAAATATGAAAGTCACTTTCATGAGATGATAATGCTAGTATTGCATTACATGAAAGGGTACGAATGAACTAAAGTTTGCGGCTCTTCCCAATTAATCCAAATGGTGGGGAGTGGGTGACTTCCAACACAGTTTCATCACAATCATATCTTATAATGTTTTTATTATTTCTTTTACATGTCATTCTCTTATTCCATGTTCACACAATCAAACCTCTAAGGGGATGTGGTTTAATGGTTAAAAATTTGATATTTTAAGTTAAAGATTTCAAATTCAAATATTGAGTTAGATAAACAGAGATTTAAGAAAAAAGAATGGTTATTCTTTTTTATATAGTCTATTTAGAAGTACCCAAAAAAAAAAAAAAATTGTTCACACAATCAAGCTTGTTGCTCATCATTACCAAATAATTTTAGTCAAAAATGAGCTATGCAATTCAGATTGCATAACATAAATTCCTAAATGTAAACACAAATAGATCTAGCAATTTTTTACTCGACTTGCTAACCTGCCCATCACCCACTCGTTTAAAATGGGTTAGGGTAAGATATTCATGACCTATAACCCGTTAGTGACTCGTAAAGAGAATTTGACAGGTCATAGGTCAATAATGGGTTGACTCACTGAGTGAATAAGCTTGACTTGTTGATCCGTCTAAAAATTAAAAAATTTTTAATTTATTATTTATTTGTTTTGTTTTCCAATTCCCAATCTTACCTAAACCTCTAATAATTGACTAATTCTCCCTAATTGGCTAACTGATTCTCTTAGCTCATCATTTTCTAGAAGCAAAAATAATCCCACTCCACTCATGACTCACCTCTCGACCTCTCCTATTCTTGCTTGCTTTAAAACTCTCTAAAACTGTAACTATTCAAAGTTCAAACTCTTCTCATATTCTTCAATCTCCATAGTCCATAGAACCTTCGACTTTTAAGCTCTACCTCCACCATTTCTCTTTAGTTTTTAACATCATCTTAGACTCAAATCTCAGTCTCACCGAGTCACCATCGTGTCGACTCAGCCTTTTCTTTCTTTCTCCTTCAAGTCTAACAAGTGCTCTTTTTGTCACCAACTGTTCTTTCTAAAACCTTCAAGATAAGTTATTTACTTGTTTATACTTTTTAGTTTTCTTTCCAATCCAAGTAAAATTTCTACTTGATCTTCTCTTTTGCTTACTCCAATGCATTCAATTGATTGATTCTTTGAAAGCAATGACCAGAATAAATATGTTCTAATGGAGTTTGTGTTTTTTGGTTGTCATGTTACTACTGCTTTTTTTTTTTTTTTTACTATCAAGATTTATAAGTGTATGGTGTTCTCGAATTTGATGAGTACTATTTCTTGAAAGGAAGTGGAGAAGGTGATTA